ATAATAAGGAAGTCAATGTCTATTGCCTACAGTGTACATAACAGGTGATATAGGACTATGGTGGGGCAGTGGCTAGTGGGAAATTACCAGACCCAATATGTCCTCCATTAATACAGTGAGTACATGTACATGTACATACCCAGCCAATATACATGTATCACAATCACACAAACATATTTTCGAAAAGTACGCAGCATTTAATCAAGGTATAATCAAGTGTAAATACAAGATTATAATAATATCTTCTACTCTTAGTGTCATAAAATTAATAATAAATAAAATTAATTTAATTAATTAAAAGCACCCACGTGTAGTACCTTTACACTCCTCTTGATTGAGTTCCAGATATCTCTCGTTGATTGCTCGTAGGATCCTTCTGGCATGCCCTCGTTGGTCCACGTCCTGATAGGACACACTGAACGGGAGAGACACTCACCATCTTGACCCCATAGAGCAGCTCTAACGCTTCCCGTACCCACATCAACACTCAGGTAATGATTGGACGCCATTTTATTTATGACACGCCCTTTTAGTGAATCACGTGATTCTGAGACACGCCTTTTTTATATTCGCGGTATGTTTGTGTCTGCGCATGCGCAGTTACTTCTTCTGCGCCGATATAAATGTGCGAAAATGAACTTGGTGTGAATTCACTCTGGTATCTCCTTCTTACTCTCTACTTTCTTTCCGAGAAAAACATGACTTTGTGCCTTTCTGTGGTATTTTTGCTCCTAACAACATACTCAAGTAAATACATTTAATTTTTTTGCTCAATTCAAATTTCAAACTGTAGATTTCTGCTCTTGTGCTGAACAGACATTTTGTCCAGAAGGTTTTATCTCCTTCCCAAATGGCCTATCTTGCATCAAAGCCATTAATACATCGTCCCTGAGCTATAATGAAGCAGTGGAATATGCAAACAAGAGATCACTCTCGCTTGTCACAGTCAGAAATGCACTGCAACACAGGATAGTGAACCTCTACACTTTAATGAGCTCTCATACTCCATTTTGGATTGAAAGTGATTGTGGTGAAGAATGCACTGGGAACGATTGCCGATCAATGGAGATGGGAGTGATATCTAATCGATCCTGCTCTGATAGCCTCCACTTTGTTGTGATGAAAATTTGTCCCAGTAAGAGCTGAGAGAAAGAGATAAGTGTATACGATTAAAAGAATAGAAAGTGTCAAAGTGCTATTTGATTGTTTTTCTGTTTTAGTTGTTCCTCCTTTTGCTATGATTTCAAAGCGTCAGTACATTGCTTTGTCGCAAGAATACAACTTAACTGTTCCTGATAATATTATTCTCAACAATACTGATAATAGCACGTCAATAAATTGGCTTTTTAATGGAGAAATACTGCAAGACAGCTCTATCACTCTTCAACCTGGCTATCATCTGTACTTTGATTCTTTCCTTTCCAATCACTCTGGTGTATATGCACTTGTGCAGTCAAATCTTCGTCAGTCTGTCATCATATTCATCATGGAATTAGTTGAAGCAAGTACGTAAGAATGTTTATTATCAGACAGTAATAAAATTATTAACGATTATATAATTCTCATGGGCATTAATTTTATTGCAAGTCTAAAGCAGTACAAGCTATTCTTTTGACATTACATATAGTTCCAGTACTTAGCTCAATTTAATCATGCATATTGTATTGCCATGAAGCATTCCCTTCACTTTTATGTTCAGTGGGTTTGTTAACTTTGTTTTGGTAACCAAATTGTCATGTGGTAATGGCTATACTATATTGCTCTTTTGTTACTTTATATGTAGACTGGGTAGTTGTTATTTAAAATTGCAAATGCATGTACATGTACACATAGATAATAGAAAACTGAGAGAGGAAGAGATATCACTGTATTATAAGTATTGAGGTGTTCATGACAAAATAACAAAAACAAGTTCTGCAAAAACAAGTCCTGCAAAAACAAGTCCTGCATTCCTCTCTTCCTCATATAGCTTTGAACGAATTTACAGTAACTCCTGCTAATGTAACGATACCTACTGGACAAATAGCTGTCCTTGAATGCGAGTCTGGGGACAGTTTTCCACCTCCTGCCATTGAATGGATGTACATTGACAGCATGAACAGGATCACCAATATATCGACACTAAACAATACAAGGTAATAAAATTGGCTTTATACTTCATAGTTGTTTTGTATTGATATTAGTGTTTTGGTTTGCATAAGTTAATCAATTCTTTTCTTAGTAAATATACCTATATAGCATGTATATTGATGATATTATTGATGACATTAGGATTAAAAACATGATTTATTAAATTGAATGCATGAATTAATTCCTTTAAAGTTTTAAAGCAATAACATGCATGCACCATCATGGCAGTTGTATCATGGCAAAACTTATGCCTATTTTTAAATGGTTTAACATTTCTAATGCTACTATACTTTGTTCATCTCATAGATATTACGTGAGTCCTGTTCATTCTCTTTACATACGAGAGACCAAAGTGATAGACAGTGGAGTCTATGTGTGTACTGCTAGCAACATAGCAGGGAGCATGTCAGCCACTGGTTACCTCAAAGTCACTAACGAGTCTCTCTTAAATGGTGAGTGAGTATTAGTCCTTGAATAAGGAGTCGAAGGTCAAGGGAGAGCTAACGAGAACTTTAGAATGTGACAATGTAGAGGGTAATTTTTATTGTAAGCTAATAAGGAAAAGGAAGTTGGGATTTTGTTTTTGCATAAGATGCTCATGGTGTCAAATGAGCTAATGCTTAAAATGTCAACTATTTAACAGCAATTCTCACCAATGAGCAGCTTTACCTGTCAATTCTCGCTCACAATGTTTGCTCTTTATTCTAATTCAAGTCAAATAAAATTCAAAACTTCCAAGTGACATGATTTTATTAGCAGGTTTAAATATACTGTAGCAGTGGAATATTTTACTGCCTTCAATTTCCTATTTTTTGCATGTTTTTGATTTTACAGTTTGCATGTGAGCTACTATAAATTAATATAACTAACAACAAATGCACTTACTTTTTTATTTTATTTTAAAATTAAAGTCACCTTAAAATATCCCACTTTTACGGTATATGTTATTTTTCTAGCTCCCCTAGTGGCCGTGTCTCAGAACCCTAGAAACCAAACAGTCTACGTGGGAGAGAAGTACACCATCGAATGCTGTGCCATGTTCAGCATGCCACAGAGTGTCATTGCAACCGAATTAACTTCAGCTCTTCTCATAAACTTCAGGGAAGTTCGCCAGCCTGGTCAAGGGAGGGGCAGAAGCTCTCTTTATTACTACTCCCTCATGGAAAGGACCTTCCCAATTATGCAGTTTGAAGCTGAGGAGGAAGGAGAGGATCGGTTCTCCTGTCATGTAACTGCTAATCTTTACACACTCAATAGTATTCAAGTGGCAATTAGCACAACCGCCACTATTACTATTAACGGTGAGTTCATAATCATACTAAGTAATTATTGCTATAAATGGTTAGTTACTAAGTGATTGTTATACTAAGTATTTGAAGTTGCATCTTGCTTCAATCTGTTACCTATGTCTCACATTATTATTATTGCTATTATTATTATTATCATTATCATTATTGTTGTTGTAATTTATAATAATTGGTGATAAATGTATATATTCAATCAATGATAATAATAATAATAATAGTAATAATGATGATGATGATGATCATGATGATGATGATCATGATGATAAAGTATGGGTATTAATATTATTTTTTACTATCCTTTTTGCCTTTCTCCTTCTTTAAACTTTTATTCAGTAAAAGCCAGTGTTAAAGATATTAACACAAGCACCAATGACACTCTAATAAGCATTGGAACAACAGTGACACTCTACTGTGACTACACTGGCCCTAGTGTCAATTGGTATTACAACTCCCTCCCATACACTACTAATGTCAGTAACCCTACTAACGGTCGGAGTGAGCTCACACTTAATAATTTTAAATTATCAAACACTGGAACCTACCAGTGCATTGCTAGCAATGACTATCAGACAATGATCAGATCGATAACACTCTCAGCTAAAGGTGAGGAAAATTTTATTGTTTTACTGTAAACCTAAATGATTTAATTTACAAATTATTTTGTATGCGTATTCATTTCTTATAGATGAATGTATGCAATATGCATACATATGCATACATACATATACAATGTGTCACTTCTTTAATATTTAATAATTATTCTTTCTAGATGGTGTTCCTGGTATAGTCTATTACAATGCAACTGTGATCTCCTACTCTTCCATTCTAATCATCTGGTCCCCACCTCAAGTACTAAACACGCTCTATCCGACTCTACTAGGCTATGAGATACGCTACAGGAAACTCGAGCCGTTCCAACCATTGGAGAACTTTCAAGTCGTAACCTCAATATTTGATACCAGATACACACTGAGCAGTCTCCAGGCAGGGATGCTCTATCAGATCAATGTGATTGCAATGACTACAACTTCCTATGGACCAGATCACATCAAGCTAGTCAGCATTCAACCAGAACCAGGTAATGGACTGTAAAAGTGGAATATTTTAAGGTGGCTTTAATTTTACGACAACAGAAGAAAGTTAAACTAAAAACCAGTACTTAGTTATATTAATTTATAGTAGCTCATGTGTAGTAAAGATTTAATAAACCATAAAAGTAAAGGTTTAAAAATTAAATAACAAAGGCAGTAAAACATTCCACTTCTACTGTATAAAGTTGATAGTAGAATTTTATAAGAGCTAGAGTGAATAATACAGCATGATTAGAGCTAGAGGCAAGATAGTAATTCTTTCAAATTTCATTCGTAGTACGATCAAGTTCAACGACTCTCATTACACCCACTTCAAGCTCAATATCAAGATCAAGTGTTCCCATTACTACATCATCAGTTAGAACTGTCCTAACTTCAGTGACTCCAACTTTTACTATAGCACCATCAGTTGGAGGCCTCAACCCCAGCAGTAAGATATATATGCATGTATTATATTGACAGTAAATTATGAATAAACAATGACTAACTTTTATATTATAGTTACTGTTATATTATTTTTAATTTTTATAGAAACTCCTCTCTCAACAGTAATTCTGACTGTAGTACTTTCGCTGCTCATTTTAATCATTTCTGTCATTGTTTTAGTTTGTGTATTCCACAGATGCTGGTGGAACTATAGAGGGTAAGAGAGCCCAGTAAAAATTATTATGTACTTTAAAATTGTTATTATTATCATTATTATTATTATTATCATTATTATTATTATTATTGTCATTGTTGTTTTGTAAACACTGATGGCACTGAAAGCATTTATACTGAAAACAATTAAAATTATTATTCACTTTAAATAATAATAGTTATAGTAAACGTGTCTCATTATGCTTTCTTTCTTTATTAGATGGAAGGGTAACTACTCTCCGGAGAAGGTTGAAGAGGTTCACCAGCGAAACATAATGCTCAACTTTGAGCCTAAACTGATTCAACCAGCTCAAGCATTTGATTCTGCAACTGATCTTGAGAGCGAGAGCAGTGGGACTACTCTTGATGTCGTGAGAGTTGATAAAATCTACCACAGTCAAGAGAATGTTATATACGACAGTCTTGAGAGCCTCAAGCTTCAATCGGAGAATGTTTAGACTGTGCCAGACCAGTTCAATGATGTGTAGTGTAATAATTAGCTTTAGAATTTCATTTTTGCATGTTCCTTTATTTAGCAATGATTTGATTTGAGCTTGTTTTGTTTTTGTTTCTGTTACAGTCATGCTGCCATTAATTTTTCAATGCTTATCAAAAGCTTAAGTATTACCAAGAGTAGATAATAATTATATCTACTCTTTGTATTAGTAAATTTTAGTAATTTTTAATTAATGCGAAGGGTGGGGCATTTAAATAAAGTATCCTGAGAGTACACGGCTGTAACGTCCGTAGATTATTGTGGGCGTAGCTGTTAAAATTCCTTTTGCTGTAGCTATCATGGCGTTGAGATCTTATCTTTTCGTGAGTACCCTCTTGTTTTCTTTAGGTGAGCTAGAGTACACCCCGACATACTATACTATTTTATACTCAAGTTATTGTATTTTCAGGATTATCTCACGCCCAGCTGTGTCCTAGCGATACCTTCACGTACAGCGAAAGCAACTGCCTCTCCCTCACTACTTCCTCTACCCCATCCTACGATAACGCCAGTGCTAGTTGCGCTACAGACGGAGCCTCTTTAGTATTAATAAGCTCAGAAGGTGAGCTCTTTGCTGCTAGAGGCTATACACGTTCTCTTGGAGTAAGAGATGGTCGGTATTGGATTGGGTACCAGTATTCTTCTTCAAACCTTGTTGACGTTAATGGTAATCCTGCTCCTTCTATTGTTGTTTCGGCAGTAGAGGAAGGTGGTCCTGCCCCTGCTACTGGTGTATGTGTAGCATTGACTCAGAACGAGGCATTAGTGAGAGTACTGTGTAATGAGTCACTGGATGGGTATATATGCCAGTTCACTATTAATGGTAAATAAAGATAATAATAATAATTGTTGTCCTTGTTTTTGTTGTTTGTTGGTTTATGCATGTACATCAGTAGAGACATTGTCTACCCCTTATTATTAAATGTGTACATGACCCAGTGGGTATGTACATGCACATGTATAAACACTGGAATATTTTAGATATATGCTTGTGCATGCGCCATTGATTATGGTCAATACAATCAATAAATTATTCATTTATAAAAAATATGAAATAGATATCTATAAGTATCTATGCATATAAAATGTAATCTTATATATATATTCTTTATAATTGGCATCCCTCTCTCTACCTTTCTTTCTTATCTTTCTTTTACTCTCCCTCTCTCTCTCTCTCTCTAGTTCCTCTTGTTGTTTCAGTCAGTTTCAACAACTCAGTTATAGATCCATCTATCCCTATCACACAACCTCTTGGCACCTCCTTTATCCTCTCCTGCTCTTTCAACAACACTACTTCTCGTTCCACTGTCCAATGGACACTAAACGGAGCAGCTCTACCTGAGGACCTTATAGATACAAATGGTGACATGTCAGAGACTACTTTGAATGTGACGAGGTTCTTGTCTGAGGGAGTGTATCGCTGTCAAGTGAATAATGCTAATGGAAGGAGTGTTGGACAAGATATACAAATATATGCTAGTTTGGAAGGTAAGGGAGGGGGAGAGAGAGAGAGGGAGAGAGGGAGAGAGAGACAGAGAGAGGAAGAGACAGAGAGAGAAGTGAGAGAATCGGAGATTAAGGAGCTAACATGTACATGTACATACAATGTACATGTAGAACTGCTAAAATGTATATGTGCATGTGCATACATAGTAGTTGCCATTTTCATTATTTGTTTTGTAACATTTTGATTTGATTTACAATGTACTGTACGTGTCACATGATTGTCATTCATCCGTTACTTGTAATGCAATTACAATATGTAATGTTAATAACAGTAATTATACAGTAAATAATATGCTGTGTCACTCACAGATTCCTTGTCACTTTCACTCTTTCACATACCCTTCTTTCTCTTCTTTTTTTTTTCTTTCTCTTCTACCCTTAGATACATTCTTTGTTCCTGATCCTTTATCTCCTAATGGTATAGTTGCTTTCCCATACACCCAGTCATCAATACTCATCCAGTGGTTCCAACCTCAGGTCTCCTATGTCTCCTCTCCCCTTCTCCTCCGATACACACTCTATTACACACGCAATAGGGACACTGATATTGGAGATAGACCCGTTAGAACTAATTTGACTACCTCACCCAGTGGCATGGGATCTTATGTCCTGACTGGTTTAGATGTTGGTACTGAGTATTACCTGACCATGAGTGCTACTAATAGAGCTGGTACTGGTCAAGTACTTGATTCTGTCTTAATAGTCAGGACTTTTGGAACAGGTCAGTATAATATTGATATTAATGTACATGTACATGTATTGCAATTTCCGTTGTTGCTTTA